CTCATAATTTTATCAGTGCATGGGACTAGCCAATTGTTCCTAACATTCTGATTTTATAATTTTATAATTAAATAATTTATGCATATTTAAATATAAAATAACAGAAAAATTACCAAAGATGTTTGCCGCTGGATCTTCAAAATAAATATTAGAATTGGCAGATTTGAGTGTTATTTCATAAATATATTTATCATTAGACTCTCAGGTCGCAGGTGTTGTTAGTGTGTTGACTGTTGATGCAGATCTCTCAGGACTTGTCTTGACTCCCTGAGAATCAAGTCTGAGTGGTGCTGTAATGATTCCTCTGGGGTCTGGCATCAGCAGCTAAGGAAAAATTTTGGAAAGAGTTCAAGTTTAGTTACTCTGTTGCAGTAATTTGACAATCCCAAAAGATTTTACCCCATTATTGCTTTTAATATCCATATTTTTACCTTACCTCAGTAAATGCATCCAATAAGTGCAATAATAATTTATATATTGTGCAAAAAATAAAAAACAAACTCTCAGTATATCAACGGAAACATATACCTTAGGATCGGAACTGTATTTTGATGCAGTTATGACTATAAAAATGTTTTCAAAAGATGTTAAAAGGTTCTGATGGTTGCACATTTCGATGAACATTAAAGAAATAAGGTTCAAATTGCAGTTCCACCTGAAGAGCTTCATTGTATTCATACAGCACCCAGACAGAAAAAGGGATATTCCTTTCCAGCAGTGTGGCATTTTCATTAATATGTCAATTAATTTTTAATTAATCAAACCACTTGAGTGGCAGTGTCTTATCATATATTTCCATTTACACAAGGCATGTCAGATGTCTAAAATACTAAGGGCAAATAGGAATTTTACTCATAACATAAGGACATTATGTGATGTACAGTATGTACATTGAACATTTGATCTATAATCAGAAAAACAAACCCCAACAACATAGATGTTGTTATGACCAAAAGACAAGGATTTATACAAGGTGTATGTCAATGATTTGTCAGTTATCCATCAAAAGCCAGTGAGTTAGGCATTAGCAAAACCGGATGTATAATGGAGTTTGAAGTCGTGTTCGGATCTTCTTTTGTAACGGATTTTGAGTGCATCTGATGAGATATCTAACCACATATCTCATATCTAACCAGACATTTGTTGTTCTTTTGGGCTTACAACCATGCACATTAATTTGACAACAGCTGTAGTTCTGTTTTGAATGTTATTTTGCTAAACAAAAATACATGCTTGATATTCTGCATTTCAAATCAGGGAAAAAAGTAAATTCATGTACTGTACACTAATTGGCTGTAGATGATTACTTTTACAATTCATGGAATTTATAGCAATAAGTACAAAATACAAATGAAAATGAAATTGTGTTATTTTAGCTTCAGTAGTCCAGTTTAAATTTAATTAGAACCATTATTGTTTTTCTGGAGAAGTGAAGTCAAGCCCTGTGGCCAAGCTGCTGTTGTTTTGAGTCCACTGTGTCATGTATTATAGCATTGCAACTCCAGTTGTGGTTGCCCTTTCAAGGGATCTATGATGCAAACTTCTTTCATGCATTTCAGAGGAGAAATAACACCAAACATATCTCAATATTAATTAGATGCTGAGTAGTTTTGAAGTGCTGTGTTGGTAACTATTGTAAATGTATTAATTTGTGAAATGTACAATATTGCAATAAGGAAATCAAATGTTAAAATAAGGGTGTATGTGAGAATTATGTATTACATTTTACAAAAAAAAATTTTTTTTCTAAATAAGCATATTTCTTAATTCTGAACTGAAATCTGTTTGCCCTGGCTACTAATTATTTTGCCAAGTGTTGAGCTTGGCAGCTACTCTGTGTATGTTTCTCCCTACTTGGTGGCATTAAGTATATTTGGCACAGATTAAACAACACAACACTCTTTACAGTGGATGAGCTGTGCCCACCTGTCGTGTATTTAAAACACCTGCAACATATGTTTGAGTAACCCTGAAACGCTATTCCTTTTGGGCTTCTGAAGACTTCCCCCTGAGCTTCCTGCTTATAAACAGCTGAGCAATTCACTCCTCTAATGATGGTTACCTTTCCCTGGGTATAGAGGCTCTGACATATTCGTTGAATTAGTCTTATTTTCTGCTCAAGGGAGACACTTCGGATTTCTTTTATCAGCATTGTTTACCCTTCTGAGCTTTGTTTATTGTATTCCAGAAACCAAGTCATTAGAAAGCCTGTTGAGTAGCAGACACCTCCTTTGCAAGTTGTGTGGTTTAGACTGCATTAAAACAAGCAACACACTTTGAGGTACTCTAACCTAAAAAGTGGCAATGAGTGTTTTTTAGATGATTTGAATGACACTTCAGTTGTAATTTGCTATATTCTGCTGTTTTTTGCTAGAAACAATTTGTGTATCAACCAGGGGGGTAGCAGTTGGGTGGGGTGCCTTAATAATGCACTAAACATTTTAAATTATATTAATGTAACTGTGTTATACTGTATGTGTGATGGAAATTTAGAGTGTCCTAAAGTGGAGTTTCTAGAATTTAGCGTTTTTTGTCTATGAATTGCCAGGTGTCCACAGTGCTTGTATAATATATCTAGATTATATAGTTTATGTATAATGCTTGGAGAATGCTGAATTGTTTTTTTGAAATTGTTGTTTGTTCTCTGAAAACCATAGCTCAGCCACTGGTTTTATTATGGCATTTAGTTCTCATCAGAAGTTTGCTTTTATCTACTGTGTAAGTCACTTGAAGTAGTTATATGCAAATAATGTTATCAATATCCCAAAATTATTTGGCCATTGCTGATAATCCAGTAAGACTCTGTAGGTTGTTTATTCTTAGTTTTCCATTAAAATCAAGTTTTTGTAGTTAAAATAGCCAAAGCAGATAACTTATTAAATGTGACAGTTGTGATACCAACTACACTATCATGTCCAAACCCATCTTTATCAGCCACACAACAAGAAAAAGAAATAATGTTAATTATTAAACAGAACAAATCTGACTGTATCAGTCACTTGAGATTTTCATGTGAGAAGCATCTCAAGTGAATGAAATCCTTAGTAAATCTTTAGTCATACATGGAAACTAGCTTTTGGGACCCCTGCTGTGGGTTGGAATTCTCCAAGATTGTTAAAAGAGCCGCTTCTGTGGTGTGTCAGCTGACACAGTATTGAATGCCAAGACAGTATATTTTTCATGACAGGTTGAAAATCCTTTCAGACTTACGTCATGTACTAAAATAAAGCACTTTAGTAAATATGCTATCGCTGTTTGTTGCAATCATAAAAATGCTGTTTTGTATTCCCCATTCTTGTCCTGTTCATAATTCAACATTATATGCATTATCCACATGCTGCTTGATAAACATCCCACACCTTTTTATTAAGGAAAAAAGATTCTGCTTTTTCATATGTACTATCTTCACTATTTTATTTACTTCTCTATTTACATTAAAAACAATTGTTGTAATTGTAGCAAAAATATTCTGCTAGGTATAGCACTGCACTACCAGGTACAGATATATCAATTATTTGTGATATAATGAACGTTGGAAAATTGTAGTTCAGATTAGGTATTGCTTCAGCCCAAGTGCTGAGGTTGTCCAGTTATACTTAGAATCTCTATTGTCTCTAATAAATGTTTAAAAAATTAACCAAAATTTTACCACAAAGTAAAACAAAAATATTTAGTATTAACCCATACCTTTCAACATCATGTCAAGTCTAGTGCATCTAATTATTGCTTGGATAAATAAATAAAATGCTAAATGTTGCCCAAAGAATTCATTCTTATAAAATTAGTCTTTTTTATTCCAAGATTATAGACAGCAGGCAATTATTACATTGCATTGTTTCTTTTAATAAGTTATAATGAAACCATGTCTTTTTTATTAGCTCCACCGTTTTATCAGCCTTCTAATTTTAATGAGTACATTTCTTCAAGGATGAATCTGTCTTTCACTGTATTTAAAATATTAAATGGACACATCTGTTTTTAATTATAAACGAAGTTACCTAGATGTTGTCTTCCATCTTAATGTTGTTATCCACTGATTGTATTAAGCGTCATACAGAAAGACAAAGAAGCAGTCTCCGAAACTACATTGAGAGGTACTCCTACATTGAAGTACGAACTGATGGGTACCCCTGATAATCAAAGTATTTTCCTTATAAGTCTTTTTAATACATTTTAGGGTGGGTTTTTGTTATTAATCATTCATTTGTTTTAATGTATTTGCTCCTACAGTATATAGGCAAAATAAGGGTTGGTAAATTTTTAAGTTTTTTTTTTTTTCTACCAGCCGGTCCCTTATGGCTCTCCCATAATTAGACTACAGATCTAAATTGGATTTAATCAGTGTAGAAAATTATTTACTTGATATTTTCTGTGTTAAATCTGCCATCTAGTGGAATGAATATTCTGAATATACTCACATGTTTAAATGCCATGTGCCATTTTATTACATGCATATGCTGTTTTCATTTTTTAAACTGTAACGTAAGTACAAAATGTCTGCATTTTCTCTGTTGTTATTACTAGATTACTAGATGTCTATGTCTATTGATAAAAGAAACTTTGCATCCTTAGAAATACAAATAACAGATTTCTATAAAGATTCCTGAATCTGAGAACATGATTAGAGACTGAACATCAGCTGAGACTACAAATCACAATGCTTGATCAGTCAGTGGGCTTTTAGTGTGACACGTCACTATTTTGCTTCTCCACTCTTGCTTTGGTCCTCACATACAACTTGGAAAAATTATTTTTTCCCAGTTGTTTGTGCCTCATTAGTTTCACCTTTGGTATGGCGAGACACAATCAAATGCAGAAAAAAAAAATAGAAGAAGAATAAATAAGAAAATAAAAATATAGAAGCAGCCCTTGCAGTCAGAATGTACAGTATGTAGTCCTGTAGTAGTGGTTTCTGTATTTTGAATTTGAATTTGTTTTCAGTTGAATATCGTGTAATTATGAATTTTGTTAAAGTTTAAAATTAAACTTTGCCGTTCCAGAACAACCCAAGACCGGTGAACTACCAGTTTCAACAGAATCTAGACTATTACAAGACTCGTGGAGCAGACCTAATGAGCAAGACTCGGTAAGTTTTATTCATATACAGTACAGTTTGTATGCTGTGTACCTTACTTAAACGTATGTCCCTGCTTTACAGTTTATGAGAAATATTTGTGTTAAAAACTCACATGCACTGGCTTGGTAATTGTCAGAGAGGTGAGTGTTTGTGTAGAATTCCTGCATTATACAGTTTACACCAGCATGCATGTTCTCATAGTGTTTAGTAAACCCGAGAGATGTGAATGTGACACAAAGTAAATTAAATTAACTGTGAAACAGGTGAAAATAACCCTGCTGCACTTGAAAACTTTTTTGAGCATGTTGGAAGGGCCTTGTAGTGTGAACAAGCATAAATTTCCCCCAATCAAAACAGGTGATTGTACTTTCTTAGGGTCTCATTTCTTAGGGTTGTA